GGTAGTCGTATTGACGCAAGTCTATTTGCAAAACAGGGGAATCTATCGTGCGTTCCGGCTTCTTTGAATTCCGATTCGGCACCTCTTTCTGGCCAACTGTTGTTTTGATGAGAGTAATCCTACGAGGCTATCTGGGCAGGCGCCCTGCTTCTGGTCTTTCTTGGTTGTTCAACTCGGTGGCTCTGACTATGGTCCCTTCTACTTTCTCTATTATGACTTCCACTTGGTCCAAGTCTCTCGAAAGTGGACTTTCTTTGATTTTGATCTTCTTGCCTATGGGTCGTTCATCTGGCGGGTAGTCTTGAGTGGGTCCTTTCTTCGTGCGTCCTCAGGGCTGCTGACCGGAGAAAATCCCGGAGCTGTTCTTGTTTTTCACTGGGATGTGAGGTCGCTCTGAGTTCTTCTAATGCTTCTCGGATCTTATCGTAGGGTGTATTTGCCGTGCGTCTTTCTTTGACTTCTCGTTGTGATTTTCTTCTATCGTACTCGGCCAATTCTGACTCATATTTGATCCAAGCTTCCTTGCGTTGCCTAGCACGGTGTTGGCGTCCTTGCTTCAACTTGTTTTTTCTTTCTCTAGCTTGTTTCTGATTCTCGATCTCACCATCGTAGCCCTGGGCAAAGGGTGATATGTTGGATTCTGATTCATCCGATGACCTGACATCGGGCGCTTCTGGGGGGATCAATGGTGATCGAGGATGGCGAACTATAAGTACTTCCTGTGCGTGAACTATTCTGTTATTGGCGTTAGTTTCCACACTGTCGGATTTGCTGATAACTTTAGTAGAGGCCTCAAGGTCGCAGACCGAGTCTCCTTCTTGGTAGGGTAGAATTGCCGCTGTCATCGTGTCGACCAGTCGGGTACTGCTATCCTCAGGAACAGAGCCTGGCCAGTGGACGATGCGGTCTTGAGATGTTATAGTTAGTACGAGACCTTCTTGAGCTCCCTTCAGTGGCATTCTAAGCATCGGATCGAGGAATCCTTCGGACCATGTCTGATAAGATGTCGCCATGTTGTGGAGTCCGAACGGAAAAGGATCCGGCTTCTTGAAAAGATTCTGCGAGTACTCCGAGTTGTATTCTTGATAGGCTAAGACCGCGTTCTTAAGCCCTATCAGAAAAGAACTCAGTTTCCCGAAATAACTCGGATAAGACTCTATCTCGGATGTGGAGCCTGAGTTCAAGTCGGATACGCAAAGCCGTGAAACCTGAGTGCAATCGGACATCACGAGCTGCGCGAATCTTCCGGTGATTTAATCTGTCGTAGTCCTCGAAATAGAATTATTTTCATGGTGATTCGAATCTTCGAGGAGACGTCCTTGGAGCTTGCCATTGTCACTCGCCTCGTAGATCCATGAGATGAAGATGAAGGTTGATCCCATCGAGAAGATCATGTTGTCGAGGTCCATCGAGCTCTCGGATGCAAATTCACCGAAAGCCCCTACCTGGCGCGCCAGCTGTTGATGTTTCACCACCGATAGCCTGCCACGGGGTTACCCGGGATAGTATGTTCGGGCTTCAGCGTATGCGAAACTCGACGGTGAACGCAAGAAACAGTCGATTTATCCTGGTTCAGGCCCTCGACTGTGGTCGAGTAATAGCCCTACGTCCAGTCGGCGTTAGCCTTTGCATTGGATTGATTGTATGTTGTTGTGTTGTAGAAGTCCTAATCTAGGAACCCTGCCCTCCTTTATATAGTCAGGAGGTCAGAATTCTAGTCGGTTTATAATGAGAGTTCCTAGTAGGATTACAGAATAATACTACTACTAAGATTATATGGGGAGAATCCTAATTAGACTAGATCTTCTCTCTCCCTTGCGGGGTATCCCGTGGGTCCCGCACCGATAGACTCTCAGCTAACAAAGTAGCTGGTTCCTCTGAGGATGCCCTAAGAAACCAAAGCACCAGTGACTTTGAGTCAGTTTGTAGCTGTTCGTTGGTGCGTGTGCTCGATGTTTTGTACCCTCCAAGTCTATGTCGTGTAATGCTCCGTGGTTTAATTATTTTTAGGCATCCATGATCACAGGATAAATAAAAATAGAATATCATTTTACATAGCAAAAATTGTCGCCTCGTAGGCTTCAGGCCTTTGGTGCCCCGTAGCGCTGTGCGGAGGATCGCCCTCCACACAACTTATCTTTGGGCCGTCGTCCAAGTCATGGGCTCGTGGTAGATACTAATGAGGTCAGGGCAGAAGAGCCCAAGCCACCAAATGATCTGCTAATAAAGGTGATACATCCCTACCATCAATGACATCAGCGACGAAATGCCAGCACAAATTTTATGACAAGTAGTTGGTTCATCGAAGTGCCCACCTTGCCAAGCACAAAGTTCTAAAAGACTTGAAGACTGTTAGGAATGATGAAAACTCAATGAGAATGCAATTCAAGGATATGGAAAGTCCATGAAAGAATTATTACCACCAGATCTGCTAGAATCACTCATGTCTATAGAAGTTTAGTTGCTATTGGCTTATCGTTTACCTTGGAGGTTGTTTTCTTTGTTGTTGGAGTTGTCATCGTGGTTGGCTCATCCTCTCAAGATTGTTGTTCCTAGGTCGAGTTGCTCAGCGTAGGTTTGTTTTTAATAATATAATTGACAACTCTTTTGCTTGGTTTATTTTTTTAAGTATCTATTGCCTTTGAGGAAATTGTAGAAACCACTCCATATAGGCCGAATTCACTCCACCCCCTCGCCCCCGCGTCGCACCTGTGGGGTGGCTCGGGCGGACCCCAACCCAGCCGCCGCCCACAAACCTCCCTCCCTCCTGCCTCATCGTCGCCCGAGCGGTCCACGGGAAGCCCGTGCTACCGTGAGGAAGGTGGCGGCGGGGTTTTCTTCGACAGTTGGATGCCAAAAAAAGCTTCAGCAGCGATGGTTCCTTCGGTGGTCGGCCCCAGTGCTCCGGCGAGCTGATCCGCCTCTCCCTTGGCCGGATCTGCGTGTGATGATGCCTGGATCCGGCTGTTCCAGCCTAGGCAGCGTCTATAGAGCTCGAGGATCGAGCGAGGAGGCTCGTGAGGCCGCATGGTGTGTGGTGACACGCATGCGTGGCGGCGCGCACCAGCGGCGTGGAAGCGGCGAAGCGCCGCTCCGCTCTCCAATGCCCTAGGGACGGTGGTGGAGCTCGTGGGCGGCGGATCCGATTCTCCCGATCCGGTGGGTCCAAGCTTGAAGGCGGCGACCGTCTCCGGCGATGAATCCGACAGCCTTGGTGCTGATCTGCTTGTGGGGTGAAGGCATCGCAGGGGAAGAGTGGGTGTTGGGCTTCGGCATGCCATCGCCCTTGCGCGTGCCATTCCTCGACGACAACGACAACATGGCCAATTTTGGAGGACAGTGGTTTGATTTAGCAGGGCATTCCTTCGGAGGGGATGGCCGGTCTGCTTTCGTCTTTTGGGCGACTACGTGCTGAGAGTTTGGCGACATTTGGTATGTTGTGGTCCTTTGGGACTGGCGCTGCAGCGGATGGTCACGCATGTCTGTGACTTATTTGTTGCGGCTGCGACTACCATTTGGAGGCAATCTTCTCTCATCGGCGTCTTGGAATGTTGGTGGTGTGCTCTAGAGCCTCGTTGGATGTCTTTGGTCTTCGACGGTAGGGGTTGTCCTCACTCTTTGTAGCTTCTTGGGGGCAACCTACGAAGGCTGGTGTCTAGCAGGTCAGCGGCGGCCTCTGGCCGGCGCTGTAGTGACAAGCCACGCATGCCAGTGGCTCGATCATTGCGGCTACGATGGCCTGCTAGTAGCTGCTCTTTGCAGTCGCTGTCTCGGCGATAGGTCTCGCTTGGCGATGGCCTCTTCGGTGCGACGGCGGTGGCCCTTCCACGGTGAGGTAGTGAGATGGGCTTCGGGCTAAGGCCTTGCTTCTTGTTTGAAGCTGACATTGGCGACGTCTTTGACCCCGTTTTCCTCGTTGGAGGCTTTGTTGTGAAGTCCATCTCCATTTTGCTTGGGGTCTTCGGTTGAAAAACCTCGAATGGATTTTTCTGTTCAGCGTTGGTGACGTCCGAGGACACCGTTTCCTCCATGGAGGCATCGCTTTGGAGGACCCCTTCCCACCATGGATGTTGCTACAGCTTGTCTAGTGACCCTTGTTGCCGATGCTGGGTTCAAAGCTTGTTGGGGTGGTTTTTGTGTTGTCGTTGTAGTTGTGTGATGGTGTTCTTATGTAGTAATGTTTTGTGTGTTCATCTTCTCTATCAATACATAGACCGGCAGTTAACCTGTTGGTTCTTTTTTTAAAAAAAGAAGCCACTCCATATGTCATTTAGTTCTGAGATAACACACCATGAGACGTTTTGTTGCAAAATGTCCCCTACCTAATCCACTTCGTTGCAAAAACCACCCACTACATCTACATGTGTCTAGCCGTTTCTACCCGTATTCACCAATAAAGAAACAATAAATCGATTATGTTTGATCATTATGTTTCTATAAGCTAAAGTAATTTGCAAATAGTAAAATCCGGGAGGCCTGGGACCATGCTTAGTAGTTTCATTGTTGATTTTTTTTTTTGTGTGTGTGTGTGAAAGCTCTAAAAATATTGAGGTTTAGAAGCATCTAACTTTGATTAACATGTTGGCAGAATGGACATAATTGGCTTAATGCATGTATGATGGTGGGGTGTTTTTTTATAGCAAAATGTCTTGCAGATTGGTATCTCGAAATTAAAAATAGAGTGCCATGCATATGGAATGCCTCTTTCCCCACGGTAGGGCAATGGATTCACTTGCAGTTGGCACACCAGACAGAGCAGCAGGTTGGCAAGCAGAATCACTGAACCAGATTCATGCACCACCACAAGACAGTAGTTACACGCCAATGCCGTACCAGGGGGCAGGTAATTCACCGAATTTTGCCACACTTTGCAGAGTGCGAGCCAGCCTGGTCTCCACCTTTTGTCCGGGAAGTCCGGTTTTACTTCTTCCATATAAGTTCAGAGCGCATTGAGGCCATCAGCCATTCCCGTGAGAAGTTCAAACTTCAGAGCATCACCAATGGCACTTTCCGCTCCCCGGCTGGTTGCCGGAGCTCTCGTGATCCTGGCAGCTGTAGCTCTGGCCCGTTCAGACGCCGAGCAGCAGAGCCCCAGGCGCTACAATGTCGCCGACGCGATGGGCTCAGGTCAGCTTCAGGGACAGGCTCCAGCTCCACCATGCCTGGTGTCGCCTCCGTCCGTATCGGCCCCGCCCCCGCCACCATGCCCTGGTCACCAAGATCAGCGTAGACAAGCCCCGGTGCCGAGATATCTTGGTGTGCAGAGGACCGCACCGGCTCCGCCCTCGCCGCGTCCTGGGCGTCTAGTGAATTATGGGGTGCCATTGCCGCCACCGCCGCCTTGCTCATAGTCGTAGTCATAGGTCATAGCGGAGGTGCTGGTGTTTGTCGGCGTGTGTTGGCTTAACTCTGTGGGTAGTGAGTGTTTAAATGTTCGACGCAAGCACCGCAGGCCGAATTCCATGTGCATGCCAATCTCAAGCAAGGGCCCTTGTTTACCGAAATGTGCCACCTGAGATTTCGCTGTACCACCTGAGATTTCAAAAAACAAATGTGCCAATGCTCTACTACAGCTGCGTGAAACGCTCGGTGAATTCACGTCACGGATCAGAGCTGGTAGCACGACAACAACACGAGGAGGACAGGAATCAGTCATGGCATGGTCATGACCGTACCGTACGAGCTATTAAACGCCTCATTCAGAGCACCCTCGTGGCCTCGTGGGTGGTCACCAAGAGCGGTCGGCCGATTTTGTCACGCTTCCACAATCCAAAACCAATTTGAGCCGAGGGTCTCCTCAGGTAAGTTCAGGACATCACATCGCAGTGATGACACACTCGTATCGTCTTGTTGCCCGAGCTCTGGTGATCCTAGCGCTCGCTTTGGTCTCATCGACCGCCGAGCTGAGGTGCACCATGACCAGGCAGAGGCAGGGGCTGGCTCCGGCTTGCCACACATCACCTGTGCTGCAACAGCAACCGCTGCCGCCAGGCTCTGGTCGCCATGGCTACCATCAAGAAGCTCCGGTGCCGCCGCTGAGACCCCTTGGCCTGAGGATACCTGCAGCTCCGCCGCCGCCCCGCTCATCAACTCCACGGGCTCGTAATGAGCCATTTCATCAGCCAGTGCCGCCACCGCCACCGCCGCCGCCGCCATCCTCGTAGCTGTCCTTCAGTCCTTCAAGCAGATGGTAGGATTCTTGCCCCTCTTGCACGATGCACACCGTCTGAAGCAATCCGTGTACTATGTCAGTATTTCATTCGTCTTGCCTGCTTGACATCTCTGTACCATTCCACTATTTTATTACTAGACTAGAAGAAAGCAGTCAGGACATGATCTTGTTTATCCGACCCCAAGAATCTGCAGAACGCATTTGACTGAATTTCGTTGTGTACTGACTGATCGCGTGGGTGCTGCCCGCTGGCGCCCGTACAACATAATTAGGATACCGCTATCGATAATCCACAGTTCCACACCTCCCGAGGTCATGGTCATGGCACACGAGCAGCTCGTACAAGCACAGAGCACCCACTGATAGCCATAGATCTAGTATACATACTAACATCGGATTAAATAGCAAATCATAGAACATGCTAGTGTGAGAAACAGATAGAAAAAGAGAGAGAGGGGTTGTGGAGGTGTAAACCATCGGCCGCCTTCGTAAAAGACGAGCTTGCCATGGGGTGCTTGTCGGTGGCGCGGTGAGGTCCGATGGTGAAGTCGCGGACGCAGCGGCGGCGGCGGTGGCCGGTGGCGGTCTTCCCGTCGTTGGCAACGCCCCCTCACTACTGTAGGTGGGGCGTCTGGCGACTCGGGTGAACCTCGTGTCTTGTGCACCGGCCTCACCTCCATTTTTAAAGCGCGTTGTGACGATGGGGGGCCTACCAACCATGAAGCGGTTGGGCGTCCCAGATCATGCGCGGATCCGGACCCAATTAGGCCAATCTAACACCCCCGTGAGTAGTGAGTGAAGAAGGGGACACGTCAGATTTGTCGCACTCCCTGGACTCCAGTCTCCAGGTCAGTCTGAGCTGCTTCTCCTTTTGCGCTAGTAGAGTTCGACGAGATACTTATGCAGCTAGAGAGAGAAGCATAACGAGTTCAGGACGAGCAGAGCAACCAACATGACACTCTCATCTCGCCTGGTTGCCGGCGTTCTCCTGGTCCTGGCATTAGCTCTGGTCTCTTCCGGCGCAGAGGAGAGGAGTACCGGGCGCGCTGCCAGTGCCAACGCGATGGGCTCAGATCATGACCAGACGTCCGAAGCTCCGGTGCCGCTGTTGAGGCCTCTTGGCTTGAGGACACCGGTGGCGGCTCCGCCCCCGCCGAGGTCGGCAACTCCACGGGCGAGTGGAAGGCCATATCATCGTCCGTCACCGCCGCCGCCGCCGCCATGCTCGTGGCTGTAGGCTGTACCTCTAGCTCTAGGCCTCTAGCTCTAGAGACGTGAGAGAATGGTTTGTTGGCGTTGGCATCCCATTTCCTGTAAGCGTGTTGTAGTTCTTCAGCTGGGAGTTTTCAACGATCTGTGTAAGCTCTATCGGTCATGGATTCACTCAGGTATTTGGGCGCTTTCAGCACCAAACACCACCGTTTGCTGATTAATATTTCCTTCTTTTCTTGTCTGCTCAACATTTCTGTGCCATTCTTTTGTTGGATGTCCTGGCATTTCTTGTATGTTTCCAAGATATACGAGTAGGACAGCAGACAACTTGAACTTGCTCACCCGAATCACCATACCAGAGGACCAGAACGCGTTCTATACTTCTATTGAATTTCTAACTGCGCAGAATTCGCGGCTCTGCAGCGCTCCTACTACTGTTCATCACTGTTTGGTCACTGTGTTTTAACACTGTTTTTTTTATCCCAAAGTAGTGGCCTGCGTCGAAATTCACCAGCTCGGCCACGGCCACTGGTGGTCGGGTATGACGTGACCTCGAAGGGGCTCACGAGTGAACCGTTGAGTTTGGACTTTGGACTTTGGCTCAGGCGATGTTGCAGCAACAATGCGCATGTTACTTCACTATAGAGAGTCGTTTTTCTATGTCATTTTAGCTTCATCGGCTCCTTCGTGTACTGCTGCAGGAGTCGGAGCTGAAACCCTGCGGAACAGGTCCAAGTAATTGTTGGGATAGGCTTGGCATCAAGCTTTGCAAGATTGAACCGTGATTTGTGGATGGATCTTTACCCCGCTGCTGTTCATTGAACATCGATCGTTATGGAGTTTCAAATCAGCAAATGAGACACCCTTGTCCACACAAGTCCTTCTGGACTGCTTTGCGTCTCTGCCATTCCATTGCCCTAGCATGGCTGGCGTCTGGAGGAAATTTCCAGGGTAGTGCTTGACAATTTATTGGCGGATGACAATCAATTCATCACAGGAAGACCTTGGAATCACCATTGACCGAACACATGCTGGATGCATTGGCCTGCGCAAGAACTCATTGATTGCATCCATGCGTGACCTCCAAACAAGTCAACCACCCAAGTTCAAGAGTCTCGGAGTTAGCACAAGACAAAATGTAAACAAGTGTGGCCTTGTTTAGATTGCTTTAAAGTTCCAAGTTTTTTCACTCTTTCTCCATCACATCAATTTTTAGACGTATGTATGGAGTATTAAATATAGATAAAAAAAAATAACTAATTACACAGTTTGGTTGTAAATCACGAGACGAATCTTTTGAGGCTAGTTAGTCCATGATCGGACAAAATTTGTCAAATACAAACGAAACATGCTACAGTGTCCAGATTGCAAAAATTTGCAATCTAAAGTATTTCAGAGAAAGGAAGAACGAAACAAATGCTCCATTGGCAACGACCGACGTTATCCTTGTTGCCTGCTTAGTGCTTACCATCCTTGCCATTTCATTATTCTAGCATGCATGCCATATTGCCATGGACCTGCGCACGCCGAGCAAAGAGCTCAGTGGTGGTATCCATGTGTTCGTTCGGATCTCAAGGGACCTCTGCCTGAGATTTCGCTGACAGAGCCCTGGGTCACCAACCCAAAGTTTTAGTATAAATTCAGCTAACCAGATCACTCAAGAGCAAACGTTCGTGGCCACCACCATGAAACTGGTCAAGCTCTTCGCTGTCTTCACCATCCTGGCTGCTCTGTTCATCGTGACATGGCCCGTTGCTGTGCTTGGGGGTAGGCTGGCCAGGGCACCCCCAACGCCGAAATCTGGCCCCATCCAGCACCACCGCCCACCACGACTACACGACCCGCCGCCACCGCCGCCCCATCGGCACGGTCTTCGCTGGCCACAACCATATCCAGCACCACCACCATTTCATCATTAGATTTCAGTTTGCATTCACAGTTTCAGTACTTTTTTAGGCACCCCCTCAATCGGTGCTCGATCTTTCGATTGTTCCAGTAAACAGTGTTGACTCTATTAATCAGTGTTCACTCTTTTATCCAGTAATATAGATCGTGTGATCTTCAAATCGTATACTGCTTTCGAAATTTCAGTATTTGGCTGAGCTATTATTTCCTTTTAACGTTCAAATCTTTACTGCGGTTAAGATGTTAAAATGTCTCGTGAGAACGAGCAGATCATTTAAATTTGAATAGCAAAACGGGTCTTAATTTTCTGCACAAGAAGGATTCAGAGACAAAGAAACGGATGTTCTTAAGACTTACTAGACCAGCCTCAACGAGGGGAGGTAACCTCCCCCCTCAGCCGATCTGAAGAGCAGAAGATTTGTTCTCCGAGCAACGCAACACCTCCATTGCCATTGAAATCGGACAAAGGGGCTGCCTGAATCGTTGCTCGTTGATGTTCTCTATTCCTTCGAGATGAGATCGATCCGATGCAAAAAGGGAGCTCGGACGCAGCAAAAACAACGAGACACAAAAAAGAGAAGGAAAATAACCGAACAAGTGATCTCATCAGAGACATGAGGCCATGGAGACATCCTACAAAACCGATCTGCACAGGCGCGACGCCTCGGGGCGGCCGTGCGGCGCTGAAGTGAAGAGGTTCGCTGCGTCCTCTCGCCCGGATTGCCTTTATAGGAGGGAGGAGAGGGGAACCCTAACCAGAGGGGTTCGGCCGCCTGGGCTGGGTCACGGTAAATGATAGGGGTGCCCCTGCCATGGATCAGTGTAGCCCATTCTGAGCATCAGGCCGCTGGGTTATGTTTCGGACGGCCCAGTAAGAGGACAATTTTCGGACTAAAATTAAGGCCAACTCCCAAGGGGAACGTGGGGAAATTTCTTCATTCGTACATTTTTTTACTATAAAATTGAATTGATTCCTATAAAAAATTTATATGATTTATTTAAAGGTTACCGCGTTTCAAACAGGCCTTATAATTGCAGCGCATCAGCATCCTATAACAAATAATAAAAAGAGAGTATATGGTTGGTGTTTGGACTCTCAACTTAGTTTAATACTCCCTCCGGTTCATTTTATCTGGCGCAAGGTAGAATGATACGGTCTCTTAAATTATAATTTAACCATTCATTTGTTTTATATTATATTATTTAGGTTTATAAACTTATAATCATTGGATAGTATAATTTCTTACAAATCTAATCATATAAAGTTTGTATTATAATAGTTAAAATTATTAGCCTAATTATTAATCAAAGTTTTTAAAGTTTTAATCTTAATATATGTGTGCGTCAGATAAAATGGATCGGATGGAGTACATCCTAATATAGCAAATAATAAAAAGACAGCATGTGGTTGGTGTTTGGACTCCCCAGCTAATAAGCTACGAATAGTTAGTTTAATGGATCCAAATAGGTCCAGTTAATTAATAGGCTAGGTATATGTTAGCTAGGCAGCTGCCCAAATGTCACAAGTTGAGTATATGGAGAGGAATATCCTAGCATCGGGTAAGGAAATATTCTCCTGAAAAGATTATAGGCACATATGAACAAAAAGTTGATCTATAATGTAATCCCTCCGCCCCTTTTTAACTGTCATTCTCACTTTCCGAGAAATCAAATATCATCAACTTTGACCAAATATATATAAGAAAAAATACTAAAATTTATAATGCATAGTTGGTATCATTGGATAGATCAATCTATTTTCATAATGAACTTATTTGGAGATACAAATGTTGCTAATATTTTCTATAAATTTAGTCAAACTTAAGAAAGTTTGACTGACACGCTTCTCAGGGTGACAGTTAACCAGGGACAGAGAGAGTATGCTTCAACGAAGGGATGCCATGTGGTGTCAATTCAAAAGAAAAAAAATCAATCAATTATACTTTACACTATATTTTGTCATGGCCCGCTCATCGGCCCCACTTGCCAGCTTTGTGGGAAAAGAGAAAGGAGGAATACGGGGGAATGAGAGCCTCCTACATTTGGGGGTTCACGAGAGAGAAATGAGAGCTCTCATCCATCCGGGGGCGATAGGAGTTCGGTTGGAGAGCAAATTTTGTGTTTTGGTGTCTCAAAATAGGATAGGGCTTCAGTTAAGAGTTTGGTTGGAGTTGCTCTAACCATTAGTAAGAATATAGAGAGTCTATTAGAATTGCTCTTAGTTATGACAATTTTCAGTCATATATAAATTGAACAAGGAAATAAGACATCCTACGTTTCGGCCTGCCTAACAACTGCTATGTCTTATGGTCCATTAGTTTCCCCATATATAGTACGCTCATTATATATTGGTATGAATGAATGCATTTTTATCTATATGGATGACTTAACTGTATGTGTTATATCCACTTCATTATATCATATATGAGCATATTGATTCATCAGCACCGTATATGTGAGTTTATTTTTAGGGGCAAAGCCCTGTCCAAAGTTCTTTTGCGTATTCAAGAAAAAAAAAGCCCTGTCCAAGTTGACCTATATTCAAACTGGGTTATTTCAGACGTGTATATATGCTACAAAACGTATGAAAGTATATATCCTTTTACTCATTTTCTGAATTTAGAATCAAAGGCCATGCCAGCAGCATACGAGTTTACCAGAAGGGCATGCTTGTTTGGCAGCAATGCAGAATGTAGCAATGTACTGTACCTCCCTCCAGCTGGAAATACATATAGGAGTATTTAATAAACTGACCAGAAATTCGCGACTGGGTACATATACAAGCAACATACTGAAGAAGACTCAGCATAAGTCACGAGTCTTCTTCAAATGTTGCTGGTACATTGCTGATGTATTTCCAGTAATATATGTAAGTTTTCTTCAACAATATCAGTAACATATTCAGTAACGATTTTTCCTGTACAGCTGTCATTCATGAAACTGGCTAGGTAATGTCTTTTCAGTAATATATATATGTGATGTATGCTGGAGGATATATATAAGTTTAGGAAGTAAGCTGCACATGTGCTTGATAACTTGACAAACGCAGATACAAGTTGTGTGGTCACGAAACATCAGTCAAGTCACGATGGATACATTCCGTTAGCATCATTCATGATTGTATAGCAAACGGCAGATGTTCACTGCATGAAAAAGGGTGGATTCATCTATCAGTTCCACAAGTTCCCTTACCAAGCATATGCAAAGAATTTGGAAAACTAGAATGTTAACCTGACACAGATTTCAGTCCACGATCCTAAGGATTCAACAGGAATGGAGACAAGTAATTGACCACGATCACACTCCAACTCATTGCTTGCTTATAGTCAACTAAAACCAAAGCACTTAAAGCATCATATGTCTGCCATAAGCCAATGCACCAACAGAAGGTTCATCATCATGGAATGAATGGATCCCAGTGTTCTCATCATGGTACTGGTGGTCAGCCCGTAGCATGATCTGAAAAGACACAATTGATAAACTCATAACCATGCCATAGCTCAGATTCCAACAAAGTTAGTCATGATATTTCAAAAGATTAATGTGATTGGGTTCTTCTGTGGCGTGTGCTTGGGATTGGCCATAGAGGAGAGTACAGATGTACAGGAAAAATTGGATCAACAGTATCTAGCCAGTTTCAAGTACTATCTAAGTTAGAGACTGACTTAGATCATATTAGATTTGATAGCATTCTGCATTCATAACCTCAATTCTCTTGAGTATCCAGTCAAACCCAGTTTTTTTGTGACAAATTGCTGAAAATCACAACTAAGCAAGAATGCTGTACAGGGCTACTAGAAATTACCTGGAGTATAGAAGCTCATGTAAGGAATGACAACGTCAGGGACGGGCCTTCTGCCGGACATCTTCTTGACTTGGCCTGACTCCAGGTTAATCGCGAAGACGCCAGCACTTGTCGTGACGAAGATGACGCCGAGGCCCTCCGCAAAGCCAACAGCAGTCATATCTTCCTCCATCAAGATCTCCGTGAAGCCAAGCGCAGTTGGTTGGTTCAAGGGGACACGAGTCTCGCGATCGGGCAGTGTGCTGAGTTCCAAGACCCTGCTCTGCGTCCATGCCGCCGCAGTTCTGTCGGAACCGGCGATCTCTCTCGACCACAGGTAGAGGCGGGACCCCCGCACACTGGCGAACCCCAGACCACCGCCCATTGCCGGCATGAGGATACCGTGACCTTGGTGCGGTAACGGCGGGTCGACAAATGCGAGTTTCCGGCGACCCAAGTCGTACTCCACGATGGTCTTGCTCTGTGCAGCGGGGAAGTAGATCCTATTTCCCACAAGCGCGATGGGTTCCAGCATGTCCATGTCCGCGAGGCCATTGGGGTGTTGAGCGTAGGTCGCGTCGCTCCAGGCTCCGGTCTCCGAGGAGTAGACGCGGGCGTACGTCATCCCATCGTCGTCGGTGTCCACGAATGCGACGAGGAAGGGCCCGCCGTGGCAGTCGAGGTGGTCGCAGTCGCAGCCCCCTTCGCGCGCGGCCGCAGCGCAGACCACCGCCACGTTCCAATAGTAGAACGGGCACGGCATGTACAGCCCCCACACCTCATCCGTGACGGGGCTCCATACGAAGAGGTCATGGTCATTCTCCTCGCCGGTGACGTTTCTGAAGAGGATGCGGCCGTGGCGGGCGTCGCGCACGTAGCAGCCGGCGTGGTCGAGGGTGCGAGGGCGGAAGGAGGTGGTGCGGACGAACCGAGCGAGGAAACGATTGCTGGGGAGTTCCAGGTGGAAGAGGAGGCCCAGCATGGGCGGCACCCCGTGGAACGCGCGATAGCGGCGAAGGAAGGCGGGGTCGGTGAGGAGGCGGCGCCAGGGCTTGCAGACGGCCGAGCAGCGAACGAGGCGCCTAGGATCGTGCGGCGGGAGGCGGAGGAGGATCTCAGGGATGAGGTCGTCGGGCAGATCCAGCAGCGAGCGGCCGCACAGGCGTTTCGGCGGAGGAGTCATGACCATGGTTGCTATCGCCGCGGAGTTCGGGGTTTGGGGACAAGGATAGGGAGAGGCGGAGAGCCGACTGCTTGCCGGCGCCCGGCGCTTCAATTCACAATCAGTTTGGCAGGACGGCCGCCTGAGTTTCTTGCTGTGTCGGCTCAGATGACTAGTGCCACTGTGCCGGCCCAAACCACTTCGGCCCATCCGAATTCGGGTCACGGCTCAGTTTGGCCCATTCTACCACGATTCATTCGCGTTGATTGTGAATTCGTGACCTGGAACTGGAAGGCGGAGAAGCCCGTGGTGGGGCGATGGATTTGTGTGCCTCTTGTTGGGCTTATAGTATACCTCAGCTTACTGCGTAAATTAATTTTATGTTTTTTTTTCTAGCATAGTCTACATGCTCTGTTTTAGAAACAACTCTAAAATACACGCAGCATGATTCTTGATTTGTGGATCACATCATAAGCGCAATGGTGAAAATGGATCAAAAAATAGATATTTGATGAGAGAGTTGTGATCACATTAAGAAAATAAAACATAATATGTATGATGATGTCATCACGGTGGCAACTGTTTGCTAGCTTACGTTAGGCTCTCTGTGAGACTAATGACCTCCCAACATTTTCTTTTACAACTAGCCAATTATTTCTAGTACATGTGGATAATTACATATTTGTTGGTAGCTGGTTTGTTGGGAATCATGTTGTTAGGGATTTGTTTCACAAACTGAAATTCTTACGGATTTAATAAAATTGTTGGAAAATATATAAAAAACATAATAGAAAGGTTGCCACTTGATAAAAACTCGACAAAAATCCTGGTTACTCATAAAAATTTGAAAAAAAATTACATTTCTTATAGTGTGGCATAAATACACTAACCTGGTTACCTTTTTCTTAGGCAAGAATACTTTTGTGATAAAAAACACAAGTGGACAGGGGGAGCTCAGTGGAGGCGAAACTGGGCTCTGGCCCCTGCTTGCCTGCAATCCGGTAGTCTGGTAGCATTCATGTCGCTGATAAAGCTGGTAAAACCTGCCACTAGGAGAAGGGAAGCGGAGAGCTATTAGACATGATTGGGTCACATGTTGTAGTGCTTACAATAGAAATGCAAGTGGAGAAGGGGATCACGAAACACGTTATCTGTAAAGGGTCATGACTAATCCCCATACAAAATGAAAATGCTCCATAGCAGTTTAGTTCATCCCCGATCCAAGAGGATCAAAGGAGATTAAATGGAATTGACGAGGATTTTGATTTGTAGGGAATAAAATCCCTCTTAATCCCCTTCAAATCCCTTGGATTGGGGATTATCCGAACAAGCCCTTAGGCATCATTTAGCATGTTCGGTCTCATTGAAAAAATATCATGGGAGAAGGTGATTATGATTGTCCTGAGAAATATGTTTTTTTCTGGTTTATAAAATCTAGTAGAATCTAACTCTATACATTTTGTTGATTCCGACACTAAATTGTTTGTTAGAGAATCTCCCGTTTCTTTCAAGTAGAAATGGTTTTTGTTTGGCAGAAACTGTGGGTGCTTGGTTCCCAGACGAGTTCGCTCAGCCTCGCCGGCGTTAGCCATAAGAAATCACAAGTTGTCGGGCGACAATAGAAATGCAAGGCTCACGAAAACGTTTTGAAGGGTCATGACTTGTCCCCATACAAAATGAAAAGATAAAGTTTTGCTGAACCCGATCCAAGAGTGTACCATTTTGTTGACGAGGATTTTTTTTAAATTATATCTTCTGTTGGGGGGCGCAAGCCCTCCAGTATCATTTAGCATGTTCGGTAGCGTATTGCTGAGGCAATGTTTTTCTGGTTTATAAAATACAGTAGATCCCATACCTTGATTCCGACACTAAAGCACGCCGTTTCTTTCAAGATGATGCTTCTCAAGACAAACGGTTAACGAGTTCGCTCAGCCTCGCCAGTGTTAGATTAAAAGTTTTTTCGGGCGAGATGAATGCTAAATTAAATTTGAAAAATCATTCGTTCCTTTGAATTTTATGAGAGAAAAATATTTTCTAATGAAAAAAGAAGCCGAACAAATCGGATTTTAAGACAAGCAAACAGTGCCTTAGCTTTGGGCTAGCAAGGGCTACAACTTTTGAACTCTGTCTGAAGAAAAGTTTGCTGAACTTCCAAACGTGTACCATTTTGTTCCCTTTTTTAAATTATATCTTCTGTAAGGGCGCAAGCCCCTCCAGTACTCTATAGCGTAGCTAGGCAAAGCGGTACAGGACCCAGCCTTGAAGCCAAGCACGCCCTATGATGCTTCTCAAGACAAAAAGCTCTGGAATTTAAGTTTGTCGTTTGAAAACCGCGTGATTAAACTGATGTAGACCACTATCAAACAGGCTACGTCATGAATGGCAGTTCGATGAGTCCGTCTGACCGTCTCGATGATGACAGAGCATCTGCCCTGAATCGGTACGTGAGGAAATCCGCAGTGTTTTTTTTAGCCGGGATCGTCGACAAAAAGTTGCAGGCATCATCATTTCCGGCCGGAACCGCGATAGCCGGCCTGGATGGCGGCCCGGGCCGGCGCCGGCCATGTCTGACGTCGAGTCGCAATGAGCAGAGACGGGCCCCACCTCGCAAAGCCGCTGTCGCGTCGCCATCTCGCGCGCGGGAGACATGACGTCGCGTCGCCATCTCGCGCGCCGGGCCCGAAGGGCCGCGAGAGGCGCGGAGCCGACCCTGCGAACGTCGGGGGAGCCGGACGGGAGGAGTGCGCAAACGTGGGACGCGGCGGCCGGGGTGACGACGTCACTGTGCCCGCACCTCTTGTCGCCTTGCTGAGCGTAGGCACGCCTCAGGCATCTTTGGCATGTTCGTTTAAACTTATTGGTCGACTTCGGTCAGACTTATTAGTCTACATTATTTTTTACGTAATAAAAAGCAGGTTTTGATTAACATCGGTTTAATAACTCCGTGCGTGAACTCGCCATGCGTGAAAGCACTACACAGTGTGCGTGAGATCCAGCAACTTTAATACCAGCCGATCATGTCCAGAACTCGCCATGCGTGAAAGCACTAGGCACTGCGCGCGAGACCATGTCCGGCGACGGCGAGGCAGCAGGCTGATGATATTTCGTTCGCGGAGACGGTAGGGGCGAGAGCAAGCGAACGGGCAAGGGTGCCAAGTAACCAGCCGTGGCCCGTGGGTAGCAGCATACTAGCATCACAGCGGGTAGGGCGCACCTGTATTAAGTCAGAAAGCCTTAGATGTGAGGTTACCGCAGTTCGTGGCTTTAGCAAATTTCAGACCTCGTTCTAGGACGGAAGAAATTTTGGCTTTAAATACAGCTATTCATTTGGAAATACGGAAATTTTGTTCATATATTCTTCTGAGATTTGATGGGTTTGTGGATGATACCGGAGAAAGATATAACAAACCAAAATCCCAATCCCTGAGTTGGAGCACATAGGAGCCCATATGATTGGTTGTTTATACGTGTTCTAATAATCTAACCTGGTTCGCATCATATAGTCCGAATGCATGCAATGGCTCACTGTTTGGTTCTCTGTTTCTTATTATTAGCCTAGCTCATAAAAGATACTACCGTTTAGTTGTCTTAAAATAATATAAGGTTATGACCATGATTATTTTGTGTAATTATACAATCTTGAAGTCTTTAGTTTATCTTATTATGCCTTAAAATTCTATAAAATACCACTTGTTTAGACCATGTTTGGTTTCTAAAGGGGCTCCTAAAATTCCTGTCACATCGAATGTTTAGACACATGCATGGAGTATTAAATATAGACTAATTATAAAACTAATTACACAACTTGCGACTAATTTGCGACACGAATCTTTTAAGCCTAATTAGTCCATGATTTGACAACGTGGTGCTACAGTAAACATATGTTAATGATAGATTAATTAGGCTTAAAAGAATCGTCTCGCAAATTAGCCTCCATCTATGTAATTGGTTTTATAATTAATCTATATTTAATGTTGTTTATTAGTATTTAAACATTCGATATGACATGAATTTTAGGAGCGACTAAAAAACCAAACACCCCCTTAGTTGGTTGGGTTCCTTGTGGTGGAACCTGTCCACCTGGTTCAAGTCCTCGACTTGACACGTTTGCTCGTATTTCCATAGATTTATTCTAGGATTTAACGGTATGCTTTCAGTGGTAAGCAATGTCCTCATGGACAGCAAGATGCCTGTGGTGATTTCGTGAATCTCGAGATTTGCCGGTTCAGTCATTTAGAGGTGCTCATAGGGGTGTGGTTTGCGTACGTGTGTTTATATGGGTGAATATGTGTGCTTGTTGTGGCCATCTACGTCTAACTGTCTAATCCTAAAAAAAAATAACATCATTAGTTGGGTAAACATCAGAGACGGGAGTTTGCTATCAACTGAGGCAGGGAATTTATTTTATGCCATTTATAAATGGTTTCTAGAAACCAAAAAAACTAAAAAAATATTGAGTCTTACGTAGGAATCAAACCCACAACCAAATGCTCATTTTTTTTGATATCACAACCTAATGCTCAGCCATACACCTCACTACCGCTACACCACAAACTCAATTGCGAGTTTGTATGGAATGCTATCTGTTTATATCAACATTTTATAATCTTATATTAAATATTTTGACTACTAAATGACCTCAAATAAAAAAAAGTTTGAACTACAAAGTTTTAAATCTTGTCAAGCACAACAACTTTAGTATAGGATATGTCTCCATTGGAGATTGTTGGAAAAATTCAAAAATTTGAATCTCAAAATATATGAATTTAAAATTAATATTTGAGACGCTTAAAAATTTCAAATAAAAAATTATCAACAACATTCAAAGTAGTTTAGCAACTCTAAATTTTAAATTTCAAAATTTATGAACTTACGACATATATTTGAGACTCTAAACGACTTTAAATAAAAAAAAAACTCAACTACAAAGTTGTAGATTGTATTGAGAACTACAACGTTGCTATAGACTATATAAACATCTAGGGTTGTTTGAAAATTTTAAATTTCAAAACCCATGAACTTAAAATAATATTGTAGGACTCTTAATAATTTTAAATGAAAAAATTTTCACCTACAAAGTTATAGATTATGTTGAGGACTACAACTTTGATATAAAGCTTATCTTCCTCTAAGTTCATATGAAAAAGTTGTGAATTTTTTTTATGCAACTATTTATAGAGATGAGGCATCTTAACACATCTGCCTGCATA